TTCAGGATCTAGCCTTCTAAAGAGCAGTCAGGGTTGATCTCCTCTAGGACTGACCAGTTTGATCGCCTTAAAAAACATCGTATAAATGCATACAAAAAGGTCTATCAAGAGTCAAAAGGAGACATTTTGCTCCCAACCCTCAAGAAAATGAAGAGTCTTTCCAGGATTATTCCTCAAACTGTATGTTCATTCTTCTCAAAGGAGAACACTAAACCTCTTTATTATAATAAGAATTAGAAACTTGCACTAACTTTTAATTTGGCTTTTATATATGTAGATAAAAAGTAGGCCTTTTGGACTATTTTTGAATGTGGTCCAAAAGGCCTACTTTTTATCTATATACATAGAAGCCAAATGCCACATACGCATCATCATGAACTCTCCAGAACCGTAAAGCCTGCAAACTTGAAATTTGGCATCTATGTTCCTCTTGGCTTTTAGGTGCTCGCTAAGAAAGGATTTTTCAAAATGACCATCAGATCATTAGTATTCCTTATACAGTAATTAACACATTCCGATGCTAAGGAGTTCTACTTCCCCCACCACCAGAAAAGAACTCTGTTCCAACTGCCAGTTACCTCACATTCCGTTACCTCAGTTCAAACTGGCAAATGTTCCACTCCTTCACTCAAGAGTGGTCTGGGGCTCTTTATTGTACTAAACATTGGTACCTCACCAAAATGTCTATGCCTTTCACCTATGGAACTTCTTCCGGACTCAAGGCAGCGGGAGCAATATTCCCTTATGTGTTTCAATCACCGGCCACCACTGAGCCAACGGATTGAACCAGAGTGAACCGGATTTCTCCTGCATTGCCCGATCACATAGTTTCATTGAGAAGCACGGATATCCAGCTAGTATTATTATATTAATAATACAAACAATGGTATATTTATCAGCATGTTTTTGCAGATAAACATCGTTTGATGCTTGATCTTTTTAAAAACAAATCCCGTTGGTAACTTTTGAATTAGAAGAACCAGTGTCCTGAAAAAAACAAACACGCTAGACATTACATTCAGTGTCCGGAAAAGCAAGTTTTGTTTCCCCTTCTCCTTGCCTTAGGCTGGAATAATTCACTGTAGAACTTTTAAAAAAGAAAAAAGGAAGGAAGAAAGAAAGAAAACCACAGATATTTTGGTTTGTGTAGGCTTTGATGTTTATGTGCTCTATTCACCTTTTGTTTCTGGCATTTCCACTCACACCCTGTTCTGAATTTTCAGTAAAGACTGTTTTGGTCGGGTGCTTCAATTTGCTGAACTGAGAACACATCCTGTTCAATTTCACTCCCACCCCCAACTTTCGTTTCTCTGGGGGATTTTATTTTAAAAAATTCAAACAGGAGCAAATTGTCAGAGGAAAAGGAATCAGCCTGGAAGAATACTGGGCTATTAGCCAGTTAGAATTCTTAAGTCTATTTTTTTCTTTTTTGCAGCCACAATGCCTTTATGCACATAGTGTTATATTTTGGCTAGCATCACTTTTGGAAAACTCCGTATTTGATTCCTGAAAAGGGGCTTGCAAGAGCCAGCGTCATGGAAGCGGCCAAGAATAATAAAGATAACCCTTGATAGGGATCACGGAGTCAAAGCTTCTAGACCAGTGGGTGTTTTTTTTCCTCAAACTCGGCAACTTTAAGATATGTGGACTTCAGCCCTCAAAATTCCCCAGCCAGCATGGAGAATTTTGGCAGTTGAAGCCCTCATATATTAAAGTCAACAAGTTCAATATTTTCAGACTATTGCCTTGCCTTCTTCCTCTTAGAGTTAAGAGAGGAACTACCCCAAAGTCACCTAGCTGGTGGGACTAGTGTCCCAGTTTCTAGACTAGTGTCTTTAACCACTATATCAAATGGACCCTTAACACCTGCCAGTTCTATGATGCAACAACTACCTTATGTATACTATCGTGCTGTATTTCTTTTTTGACAATTTATCTAGTTTTCTCAATACGATGAGTGAAAAGGTAACCACTGCAGTCAGGTGGTCAAAATTCAGAGGCTTGGCAACTGACTCCTCCTTATGACAGGGTCTACGTACCTGTATATTAATGCGCTAATGCAGTTATGAGCAACTTTCATACCTACCGTACCGAAGCCCCGGAGGTTTTTAAGAAGAGACTGGACATTCACTTGTCTGAGATGGTATAGGTTCTCCTGCTTGAGCAGGGACTGGACTAGAAGACCTCCAGTTCTGTTCTGTTCTGTTCTGTTCTGTTCTGTTCTACCCTACCGTACCGTACCGTACCCTACCCTATTCTATTCTATTGGAAATACTTCTCAAATTTATGATGGGGTACTGTGATCAACTTCTGTAATCTTCTGAAGAGGAAAGTCAATGGGCTAGATCTGTGTTACTAACACAACCGTGTTACTAACTTAACAATTGCAGTGAGAAAGGTCATAAAATGGGGGCAAAACTCAACAAATGTCACACTTAGGAGCAGAAATTCATGGGCTCAATTGTGCCCGTAAATCAAGGACTACTTATATATTAATGTGCTAATGCAGTTATGAGCTACCTACCAAAGCCCGTCGTCCTGTTAGCCAGGCTAGAATAGGCGTTGCCACTTGGAGAAGACGTAGCTGGACTGGAAAGGGGGCTGAAGGAAGCTGGGTCAGTAGGGTAACTATGGCTGGATCCAATGGCAAAGGGCGACGATTGGGCCTTGCTGGCTTGCGAAGGAATTTGCTGAATGGAGAGTAAACAAACAAAAATAAGATGACATATCAGTCCACATTTCTCACAAAGAAATGAAGCAATCCAACAGAGATCCAAGCTGATCCCTGACAGCCTCATGCATTACAACATCAGCTGTCTTTTTTTCAGAGCTAATTAGGTCATTTGTTTTCATTTTTATGGCTTGGCTATTGTCATTCAAGGAACTGGTGGAAACGAACAATTAACTTGTGGAACTGACTATTAACTGGTGGAACGGCTGTGCCTGGACAGTCACTTGCCTGAGATGGTATAGGCAGGGGTGGGCTGCTACAGGTTCGCCCAGGTTCAGGAGAACCTGTAGCTAATGTTATGGCCGGCTTGGAAGTCCTTCAAATCCCACTCCTGGCTGCCCCCCACCTTCCCAGGAGTCGCCACATGGCCCATTTTGGATGCGAGGTAAGTGCAGGGCTTGTGTGGAGACTTGAAGAGGGAGAAAAACAGGCCTCCTGGAAGTTCCAGAAGCAGTTTTTGCCCTCCCAGAGGCTCAAGGAAAGCCTCCGGAGCCTGGAGAAGGTGAAAACAGCCTCCCTTCCCCGCAGTGGTGCGTGAGGTCAACTAGGCCATGCCCACCATGGTCATGTCCACACAGCAACCAGGCAAAGAACCCATTGCTGAAATTTTTGAAGCCCACCCCTGGGTTTGAGCAGGGGGATGGACTAGAAGACCTCCAAGGTCCTGTCCAGCTCTGCTCTGCTGTGCTCTGCTCTACTCTAAAGTTAGAGGAAATACTTCTCAAATTTGCAACAGACGCAAACCTGATGGGATGCTGCTTTCAGGTGTCGGAGACAAAAATTATGTCCTCACTCAAGAATATTCCCAAAGCATCGTTTGGAGAGGAAGTCACGTTATCACTCTACCTTCAAATATGCCTCTTGTGATCAAAACGATAAGAGCCCAAAATATAACACATGTTTGCCCTGTAGCAAAACAGATGTAAAACCAGCCTTTTGAAATTAATTGCCGTACCTGTCCGGAGAATGGAGGGCGACTTCCTGTCCAGGCAACTTGGCTTTGATTTAACTGCCGAGAAATCTGTGACAGATTCTGGCCTGTTGATGAAGAGGACTGGATGTCGTTGACACCTGGCACATGAACCACAGGGGAGCTGCAGAGAAGAGAATGAAAAGGGATTTGGAAGATAGAAGATTGCTTGACTACTAGTCCTTTGTTCTAAATGGACCAGTCCAAATGTAATTGGTGCTCTCTGACCTTGATAGTTTTCTTGCAGACATTTCATTGCCTAACTAGGTAATATCACTGATGCTAGAAAGAAGTGGGGTTTCTGGAGCGGAAGTGGGGTTTCTGGAGAAGAAGAAGAGGAGGAGGAGGAAACTGTGGGATCCTTGGTGCTTTTTGGCTGTTTTCTTGCAGACATTTCATTACCCAACTAGGTAATATCACTGATGCTAGAAAGAAGTGGGGTTTCTGGAGCGGAAGTGGGGTTTCTGGAGAAGAAGAAGAGGAGGAGGAAGGAACTGTGGGATCCTTGGTGCTTTTTGCGCTCGGTTGTTTTCTTGCAGACATTTCATTACCCAGCTAGGTAATATCATCAGGGCTAGAAAGGACTGTGGTTTGTGGAGAGGAGGAGGAGGAAGACGAAGCTGTGGGGTCCTTGGTACTTTTTGAGCTTGGTTGTTTTCTTGCAGACATTTCATTACCCAACTAGGTAATATCAACAGTGCTAAAATACCCAGATAAGCAGAGATTAGCCCCAAGATTAATACAGTCAAGAAGTCAACACTATCAATGCATGGATGCTGTTACTACAATAATGAAACATCTGCAAGAAAACAACCAAGCTCAGGGGTCACCAAGGACCTCTCATTTCAACCCTGAGCTACAAATATTCTCTTCCATTGCTATAACTGTACGTTGAATCTGGCTATTTCTGAGCTCCAGTTTTCCCCTAATAACACTGAGGTCAAAAGATCCTATTCATGAATGTTGGCTCAATGTATGCCAAGTGTTGATTCTCTGCCTTTATTCATCCTGCTGTAAGTCACAGTACCTGAAAGATTTCCCAGAATGTCCTGGTTGAAATGGGCTCCCTTGCGAATAGATCTGCTGGTTTCCCGTTGTGGAAGCTGAAGGCATCATCTTTTTATCTGCTGCAAGTGCAATCAACAGAAAGAGACAATTCAAAACAAGGCAGCCATCATGCAAACCAGGTTTAGCTTCAGTCCCACCATTGTGGCTGCCAAATTGGCTTTGTGACCATATCCTGTACTTAGCCCTCATTCCATTCAACTAATCAAGGAGAGAAGCAGCTTAGAACGAAGGAGAAATTTCCTGACAGTTAGAACAGTTAATCAGTGGAACAGAAGTTGCCTCCAGAAGTTGTAAATGCTCCAACACTGGAGGTTTTAAAGAAGAGATTGGACTACCATTTGTCTGAAGTGCTGTAGAGTTTCCTGCCTGATCAGGGGGTTGGACTAGAAGACCTCCAAGGTCCCAACTCTATTCTATTTATGTGTAGCCCACAAATGTTGTTTCATACTTCTGAATCTCTTCTAACTTTTAACAACAAAACACCACAATGGCAACATCAACAACCCTTTCAACATCACCAACAATTTTGCATATTGGCGGCCTTCCAACTAAATGCTACGTTCTTGTCTTCCAACACTGTCTGTGGGATGATGACAAAAATTCCTCCTATGCAACATTGCGCTTGAATAAGATTGCTCGTGGGATCTTGCCACAAATCAGAAGAACATTCTACAGATTGCCCCAAAGGTGCTTTTTCAAGCAGCAACTGGACTTCCTGGTTTTTCTTTGAGGACATCTCACTTCTTGTCCAAAGAAGCTCCTTCAGCTCATGACTGAGAATCTCCATAGACTTTCTACAGATGCATTTCACATATTCAACTAGGTTGACGTATTCCTTTTGGGTCGGTTTCTGCTATTCTTATTTGATACCAGCTGATAACCCGGCGTTGCCTGGGTTTTTATTTATAAGGGGAAAATGTCCAGACCAAATGTAATTTCTAATGTTG